GTCCACTCAGACCACCAGTGTCTCCTCAGGAACATCATCTCCACCTCCTCTATTCTCACCGTGTCAGTTATTGTATACGAAACTGACGTCAGCTTGGAAACAAATGCTGAACTCAGCCCTGCCCCCTGGTGGAGGAAGAATAGTATTTATACTGTTGTGTCAAGAGGAAACAAAAATCTTTTGGAGTTTTCTAGTCAATTATACGGTGATATTTTAACAAACTGCTGACAGATCAAAGAACAAGGAAACACACTCTGTTTTTTCCCTTTTTATCAGAAGGAAGCTGCAGCAGGTCCAGACTCAGGGTGAACAGTGTTGCCTCCTCCTAAACTGTCTGTAATCTATTAAACCTAAACACACCGGAACACACTACTGTGTCACAGCACATGTAACTGTCTCTGTCTCTGTCTGTGAGAGTTAACTCTCTTTTCTAAGAATCCACTCTCCTTTACTGCCTCTGACTTCCTACTCTGCTTTCGTTTCCAGGCCGCTTAAAGGTGCAGGTATTACTGGTATGTGGTGACAGGTGAGTGGTAGGCGAAGAAACTGGAGTGGTGTTACACAATGACCTGCTGTCATCAGAACGAAAAGCATGTAAAAAGTGGAGAAGGAAACCCCCTCAGGTTAGTCATCCACAGGAGAATCAAATCAGAAAGTTCTGCCCACACTGACAGGTTCTTCAGACAGAACACTTTAATCAGAGGCTCAATGAATTGAGTTCCTATGGACTGGTGTAGAAATACCAGCATCTATATTTTAATGTACGTTACATCATTGTTTTAACAGTAGAGACCACAAACAGCTGTTAGAACATAAACATTCAGCTCTACTGACTACTACACCAACTGCTGCTGCTGTGTGTTTTCTCCAGGTTCTCCAGGTTCCTCCCACAGTCCAGAGACAAGCAGATTGAAGATCAGGTTTTTCACACTGACTCAGTCTAACTTTGAGCCAAAAGAAACAGTTTACAACCCCCTCTCTTTACAACTGGGACAACAAAAACCCTGTCTAAGTTGGGCATGATGTTGTAAAGTCAGACCTGAGCTCAGGTGGCATCACTGTGGGATGTCGGTTGCCAGGTGTAACGTCACACCTGGAAAACCAGACTGTAAATAACACACTCTGGAAATTCTGAAGGAAGACTGCACCTGTAAACACACACCGAATACCAGAGGATTTTTCCTGTAAGTCAGCACACTAACAACCCCACCCATGTCCCCCACCATCACTCCAAACAGGAAGTATGTGAACAGAGTGTTTACATTCTGTCCTGAGATCATTATATTAACACACCGCTCATTTATTCCTGTTACCATTTCCTGAGTTTCCTTTTGGCCCTGGTTTGTAAAGTCCGGTTATTTCCAGTCATCTGGGGAACGTAAACAAACAGCATAAACAAACAGTTTTTACTGCTGCAGGAAGGTGGCAGTATTTCAAAATGATCTGGGTTGTCTGGAGGGGTGTTTCCAGTGTTCCTGCTGGTTGGTTGACTGCTGCTAGGTACTTCATGTCACTCAGCAAGTGCTGGGCATATATCAGTGGTTCTCAATCTAAGGTATGTGTACCACTGGTGGATCCTGGTGGTACTGGTGGGCTCTCTCTAGTGGTCTTTTTGATTAGAAATGTATTTATTTATTTAGGTTTTAAGATTTTAAGTCTGACTTTAAATATAGAGATGGTCTGAAACCCCCACTGGGACTAAATTTGACTGGTTTAATTCAAAACAACAACACTGTGTTTATTGGGTTTTATAAGAGTAAGCAATTGTAACAATTCTAAAAAACAATTTTAAAGTATATTTTAAATGTTCCCAACCAATAATGTTGTTGAACTCGGGTACAGTACAGGTTCTTTAACATTCTCTGTCATTCTTTAACTTCACAAGTTCCACACATTCTTACTGGGTCACAGTCCACTTCAAATTGTGTATGTATGTGTGTGTGGCTGTCAAGCATTATTGTTTCATTGCAAACTCTTAACATTGTGTTCTCTAAGTCACATATCTGCATATTTTCACTCACTGCTTTCACTTTCAGTATTTCTGGTTGTGAAGGAGATTATTAACTATTTCTCTGCCACCAGGTATAGAACTGAAGGCGAGGCTTCATCCAGTACCTTTAATAGGTCATCCATTAGTTACCAGTGGTGACACTACACTGACCCAGATACTGATTTTATGTGTTTTACGTTTATGTTACTTTCATAGAAGAACACCTCAGCCAGCAGGGCAGTCCCTGTGGCTGAGGAACAGGTCCTCTGTCCTGGTGAACAGGTCCAGCAGCCTGCCTGTTCTGTAGAGCGAGACACAACTGACAGTGGACAAAGACTGGGTCGTATATGGAGCTAGAACAGTCTCAGAAAGAATAAATGCACAAACAAGGATTCACAAATGTATTTGAAATATTCACATATTTATGCATGTGAAGATATTTGTTAGTTTCATAAAATACATTTGTGAATTGTCTAACGTGCATTTATAACGTGCTTTTAATTTGTAAAACTCCCTGCATTTGTTTGTGGATTTTTGAGACTCGTCTAGCGCTGACCAGGTTCACAAATGCATTTATTCTACTTGGGGCCCGTCAGCAGCCAATCAGATGTCTCGTTCGTTTGCAGCCAATCACACAACTGTATCCCCACAAGACATGGTGTCACTACGGTTATTTTACCTTCTAAATATTACTTAGTACAGCCTACAACTCTGTATCTCATGTTATTCCTTCTATTGCTTTATAACATGACTTCACTTACATCCAAACGTTCTCCATTTGTACACTGTACAAAATAACAGTACATACAGTAACTGTGAAAACATGTATAAAAACATGTATAAAACAAAACTGCATTTTCCCGGCGTGGGATCAATAAAGTACATCATGAGCTCTGGTTGGACTGAAACAGACCATAATATGCTGACGCTGAGTGCACAGGGCGAGTGAACAGGGGGCAGACGGAGAATTAACAATTGTGCGGTTTTGTCTTCAGCTGCCATGTGATATGAAGCTTTGTGACCCCTCACTAACAGGAAGAGGAAATTGGCTGACAGGAAATAAAGGTCGTCCTCGGAGCGTTTCTTTTAGACACACATTGAGGAATTTGAACTTTCTGACCCGAGGATGTCACTTGATCGTGGTGAAAAGAAACATAAGAGGAAAAGAGGAGAGTGATGGATATGAGACAGGCCCACCGTGAGGACACCCTGACTCATGATAGGTTAGAACACCCTCACACCTGATTGGTCACAACACCCTGACACCTGTATGTACATATGTGTGTGACATGTATGTGTTTTATAGCGGGAGAGAGCCCTCTGCATCATGTGACTTCCCCAGTGGTCTAGGCCTGCAGTAGCTGAAATAAAGAGTCACTGAGCTGCAGCTGATCTCACACGGACCACTGAAGGCTTCCGCCCCACACACACTTCAACAAGCTGTACCAAAAAAAAGTTCTTCAAAGAGTAAATCAGAGGCTGAAAGGTGACAACCCTGCAGAGGAACCTGAGGCGATGAGCACCGTGGACATGTCCACCCGTCACCTCCCACTGTCCTCCTGTAAAACACTCCCACTGAGGTATACACCACAGACTCCACACCTCTGACCACACTAACCGCCCTTCTGCAGGAAAAGTCAGATCTCTCACCAGCTTGAATCAAAACACTACTTTATTGTGACAGTTATACTTGTGTGTGCGTGTGTGTGTGTGTGGGAGAGAAAGAGAGAGAGAGGGAGGGGGTGAGATAAAGGGAGAGATAGTGTATCTGAAGTGGATGTTGTGACGACACCTGAAGATTTATAGACTGCTGATGTCTTTGCCATGTGCTCTTCCTGTTATGTCTGCAAATGCACACACACACACACACACACACACACATGGCTTCACTAATTTGAAGGTCTATTGACCAGGTTCTCAAACCAGGTCACAACCAATGTTATTTCTTAAATTATTTTTATGGACTTGCTGCCTTTGAAACTGGTCAATATTCTAAAACTCTTTATGTCAACGTTATGCCTCATTCTGCCTATAGAGGGCATAGGCTGCTTGTTCTGATGGCTGGTAGACAGATTTGACTGGTGTTTTAATGATGATTGGTTTGATCCAACTGCTGGTCTCAATGAAGGGTAAATATCTGCGGGTAACTGTGTTGCACCACCTGGTCATGTGACCACATTTCTGGAGGTCACGTGTACATGACCTTCCTGAACTCAAACCTTAAATCTAAATGATTGTTTTGCTGACAGGATGTGTTTGAGTTACTTTCACTTCTTTTATTACAACCTCTTTGTCCTGGAGAATGTTCCAGAGATGATGTGTGTGTGTGTGTGTCTTATAATGTTGTCAGTTATCCTTCATGATAATTCCTTACAAACAGGATGCAGGGTCAGAGGTCAATGTATTTAGAGGAAGAAATATTTTTTCAGTTTGAGGAGAAGTAAAAAAAAAAAGAAACAAATACAAATATTAGACAAAGAAGTGTCTTATCACACAGTGCTTTGTTGCTTACTGTGTAAAAGTTGTTCCCTGAATAAAGAATAATTCGTTTTGATTTCAATCACTAACAGTTCTTTAGAACAAT